CGGATGCCGAGCCTGAGCCTGGTCTGCGTGACGAGGCTGTTGCGGCTGTCCTCCATACTGTTGTGGAGGGGCGCTCGGTTTTGTCTCGGCGCCTGCGGGTAGAATCCACTCGGTTGGTCGTGGACTCTTCCATACCGGTCGGGCTGTGTTCCCTGAGCCGGCATCCGACTCTGTGTAAGTCGGTTTGGAGGCCTCCGGCCTTGTTGATCGGAGCTGTCTTCTCCGTTTCGTCCGTCCTGCTGCTGGTCGGCCGTGTTGAATGACCGAGCTCGCCCGCGTTCAAGGTCGAACTGCGGGTTCTGGCGGAGCAAGTTCGGGTTGGAATTCGTCCGTGGTGGCCGGTATGCCTCCATGCCAGGTCTTGGTGGCTGGATTGGGAGACGTTCGGCGTTTGTCGTCCGGTCTCCTCTGGCATTAGGTACCGGCGCGTACATTGTTGTTCGCGTCGCGTACGAGGTGCTGGTGTATGCACCGGCCGACGTCGTCGTCGGCACGTTCGACGTTGGTACTCGTGGTACCGCGGTCGACGTATTGTGTTCCGGTTCCGGAGCACTCGGTACTGTTGGTGGCTGTGGGATTGTTCCCACACTCGGGTCAGTGGTTATGACTCCGACGAAGTAGGAGGTGTTGTTCTCCTTCTTCACCATTTCTTGAGATGGGTTAATACCCCACAGGATGTCACTGATTGTTCGTGACGGCTGTTGATCCTGTGCCATGGACGTCCGGTATGAAGGAGGTTCAGCCCGACTTTGCTCCCGGTATGAAGGGAGTTCAACCTGGCTTTGTTCCAGGTGTGAGGTAAGTTCGACCTGGCTTTGTTCCAGGTGTTTCTTTTCCTCCCTCAGGCACCGTGTTTCGGTGTCCATCTCGTCCATTTGCCTCATCATTTCCGTGAGGTTGCGGGCGGCTTGTTCGCCGAATTCGTACAGCTCGGTTTCACGGGCCTCCAGGTAAAGGATGCGGCTGTGTTGCGCCTCGTTTACCTTTTGGGCCTCGTTCAAGTTGTATTCCAATTGGGCTCGGAGTTTTTGTTCCTCCTTAAGGACTTTGTTCAGTCCATGGACCTGGTCGGCTAGCTGAGCGTTTGCCTCCACTAGGTCGACATCGGCCGTCCTTTGGTTAGGAAAGCCCATGTCCCGAGCGTTCTCATCGATGAACCGTCGTCCCATTCTGGTGAAGACAAGTTCGATTTCCGACTCGAGCTCGTCAACTCTGTGCGTTAGGCGGTCGATCTCGTCGTCGGCCTTCTTTAATTCCACCACATATCTATCGACTTCGTTTCGATAGACCTCGGCCTCTTCATTGGCCGTATTGAGTTGCTGGTGGAACGCTCCGGCTGCCTGCTCCGACTCGACCGATGCAGTTTGTACATCGGCCAGGTCTTTCTGGGCTTCTTCAAGCGCTTTGTTCGCTTCGGCGAGTTCTCGGTTTAACTCGTGGACCGCATCCATAGATCGATCCAACGTGCCTTTAAGTGTAGTGACTTCGTCGATGTCGTGCCGACACGGTTGGTCGGTACGCTTCAATATGGCATTCAGCCGGTCGATTTCCCGTTGTTGGATGGCGATGCCTTTGTTGGCGTCGGCCATTTCGCGTTCGCATTTGCTTCGTTCGAGCCGATGGGTATCTTCCGAGTTTCGGAGCGATTTTCCCGCCGAGTCGATAATTCTGTCTGCCAAAGCGATCTGAGTGATCAATCTACGGCATCTCGAGCGGAGTAGGTCGACGTCTACGATCCTTTCGGGCGGTGTTGCCGCTATCCACTTCTCGGCCGTATATTCGAGTGAAGTGGCCTGATGAGTGAGGTCGTCCTTGTTGGACCCCAGTGGCATCGTGAAGAATCCGTCCGCACTATTCGGTCTTGACGCTGTTGTTGCGTCAAAGACTTCGTTTGTCGGTGACGGAGTACTACCGAGTTCGCCCGTTTCAAACATCGGTGGTGACGATCTGATTTTCAGGTCGACAGGTCGACTTTGTGTCGCCTTAGTCGACTTCACCGTTTGTTGAGCTTCAGTTACTCGAGTCGACTCGCGTCCGGTTGGCGAAGGTCGGCTTAACGGTGAGATAACCTGTTCACTGGGTGCTGGTATGCTGGTCGGCGATCCGGTTGGGTGAGGGCCGCTTCGTGGCGGTACCTCGGAATCTTTCGTTCCATTTGGTGATTTGGTTGGCTGGACGGTCGCATCCGACTTTGTGTCGGGTGGTTGCCGTTCCAGGCTAGTCGATTGGCTGTTGCCGACTTCCTTCTGTGGATCCGCCGTGGTCGGTTTCGGCTGACCGACCTTCACAATTGGTGAAATCCTTCCGACCTGTGTGGTCGGTTGGACATTGCCGACTTCTGTTGTCGGTTTTTCCATTCCGGTCGAGGTCGGTTGTTCGGCCTCCCGGGTTTGTGGCAGGTCGGCCTGCTGTTGGTCGACTTCTTTTCCCGGAGGTCGGTCGACCGTTTGTTGGTCGGCCACCATAGTCGGTTGTTGTTCACCGACTTCCTTGGTCGGAGATTTTCGCTCGGCCTGTGTGGTCGGCGATTGCCTTCCGACTTGGTTAGTCGGAATGTCCGTGTTGGGCGAGGTCGGCTTCAGCACTCCTACCGTCCTGTTGGGTGATTGCCGTCCGAGCTCGGTTGCCTTTGTGACTACCGAGCCATGAGCTCTGTGTGAGCTCGACTCCAAGTCGGCATGAGACAATGTGGTCTCAGCCTGCAGCTGTTCCACATCCACCCCGGTCGGGTGGGACGGGGCTGCTGTGTCAGCTGGGGCTTCCAGGAATGTTTTATCCCGGGCGTCCTCGAAACTGTCGTCCGATGTCGGATTCGAGTCGGCTAGGAGGATGCGTTCGTTGCGTCTCTCCTTTGCTTCGGCCGACTTAGTCGAGTCGGTGGAGGATGGCTGACTTTTGTCTTGACCGGCGTACCGGAGTGAGTACTTCCCGGTCATATTCGCACGCCGAGAATAGTCCGTGTTGAACTTTCTCGCGTATTGATCCTCTCGGGGATTCGACATTGTTGTCAAGTCGGGTCGACTCTGGTGGAGCCTCAAGGGTTTAATCAGTTAGAAAGAGAAAGTCGAACAATCTTCTGTGTGAAGATGTTCGGCAAAATCAGGAACGTCTTTTTTTTCGGGAACTTCCAAGGGTCAGGAACGTCCGGTGAGATGTTGTTGTTGTTGTTGATGTGTCTGTTGGTGACTCAGTACACAGGGTATTAATATACAGTACGATGGTACAGTACAGTACGTAATAGTAGTACGGTGTAGTACGTCCTATGTTACTGTGCTGACCAGTGTGACGTAACAGGTTAAGTGGTCTTGCACTTCTGCCTACGTCACAGAATGCGAGCCGCGTGCAAAATTTGCAAAAAACGATGAATCACGCCTATGTTAAGCTATGGGAACTTTCCCCTGCACGCTGATTGGCTGCCTCTTAAGTACTGATAAGCGGTCGTTATGACGTCACAAGGAAGTTCGAGAATTTTCGCGCTATTTTCCGCAAGAAAAACAAATTATTTTAGGTCGGCTAGAAAGTTTATCTAGTCGGATTTTGAAATTTTTAACCGTTAAAAATTAGTTTTGTTAATTAAGAAAATTTTCTGGTGGTCGAAACACCGTTAGAAATCAAAATGAAGAGAATTTCCGACCTGTTGCCGGTTAGCCTTTGTCTGACTGTCTAGACAGGATCGTTGACCTAGCAGGTCGGTTCTCGACCAAAAGCAAAATTCCGAGTCGGTTTCTCCGTCAGAAATTACTTTTTAACCGTTAGAAAATTTAGATCTACGGCTAGAAATAGTTTTCTACCGCTAGAAAATGAAAAGCCGACCTAGTTTCGGCTGAAATCGACCTACAACCGTGACTTTACCAGTGTCGGTGTCGGTGTCGGTTCCACTCGATTTCCTCCGTCCGAGGTCGGAAATCCGTCGTTTCCGAGCTGAAATCCGCAAGTAAAGTTGCGGGTCGCTGTTCAAAGCGAAGGTCCCCGTATTATTGGATTAATCCTATCGCTCTGCAGACTCTCGTTCGAGTCTGATCCGTCAGTTGGGAGAAGAAAATGTCCGTACGTTCGGGAAACTGAGATTCCGCTCTTCAGTGTGGAAGAGACCAAGGAACTGTGCTCACCAGCTGGGTAGGAATCACTTCAGTGATCCCCGTTTTCCTCAGCTGTAAGACGATGCGACCGTTCTGATCAAAGTCAAGGGCAGAGATTGCTTCAGCAATCAATCTGACAGTGACTTTCAGGTTCTTCACGAGTTCTCCGTAATTTGAGCCTTCACCGTCTCCTCAAAGGGTCCGTTGGAAGAAAACCAAACGATTCTGCTACCATGTAACAGGCAAGCGCGAGGAGATCACGAGTGATGCTTTATTGTACAAATAAAGGAACAATACTGCGTAATAGCAGGGAATGCAAGAACAAAGCACTGATGGCTAAGCAAGTGAATGCTAGAAAAGGCTCTTGAGCGTCCGTCAAGGCGTGAAAGAAGCAACTGACGGCAAGCACGTGCTGTGTGCCATCAGCTGTGTGATGATGCGCAGACTGGACTCAATCCAACGCGAGCGTATGAACGCTGAGTCATACTGCGAGAGAGGGACGAGAGAGCAAGTATGCTCAGTGTGTGCGCCGCGTATATCCGCTTCAGCGGATATGAGTGCAGTGCAGCAGCACACGTACGTACAGCGAGAGAGGCGATACGGCAAGCATGAGTGCAAACACGTCCATGGTGGGCCGTATGCACCAGGCGCAGTCGTGTGCCTCTGACAAAATATTTACAGTATTCCTAAATTAAGCGACAGTGCTTTGGCCACGGTATCACACCACCGCCCATATGACAGCACACGAACAGAAACAGAGCGAATGCGTAGTTCTCCTGTTGGCGCACCGTAAAATCCCTGTATGTTAGTGACGTCAAAATGACACACTGCCAGACTGCCAGTCTGCATCCTCGGCGAGAATCACGAATTACTTAGTCTCTCCACGAGAAAGCGCCGCGCAATATTATTTTCCATTGTAATCTTGTACATTACTTGTACAGTAATTACGGTAATTAATGTCAACAATTCAGGAACTGACTTGTTATAAGAATTTAAATCGCTCCTTCCTCCTTTTATGCGGATAGTTTTCAGTTTTTAGTTTTTACTGTACTTTTTAGTTTTTACAGTTTTTAGTGACTTTTTACCATGTCTCCAGTGAAAAGCCACTACCACGGCGGTAAATTAAGAGGCTGTCATCGTAGCTTGCATCTCAGGCGGGTCGCTTTGCAGCAGCGTGTATTTTGGTGCGAATGGACTGCCACGCAGCGCACATAGCACTTCTGGCCAACTGCAACGTAAACACTGCACTGACAGCAGTTGCAAAAACGTGTTTTGGAATTTTCACGATCTTTGTATTTACGGTAATTTACCAACGTTTTCCTTTTCTCGCTACCGTGCACGTGGATGATTCTGCTTTCCTGAATAAATCTTACTCCTGCAAAAATGTCCGTCTCGGGTGGGATCTTTCGCTGGCTGGATATTCTGGAAGCGGAGTTTGATCGCGGTTAGTGTAATGGTTTGATTTTCCGCTGCAATATTTATTCATGTTTCGACATGTTGTTCAGCGCACGTGGAAGTGGATCTGGCGCTGCGCGAACTGGAGCCGGACGAGTACAATCTGGCGGCCAACATCCGCGAGAAGCTGGCCACGTTGTGCGCCACGTTCACGCAGCTGAGCGAGAAGGCGCAGTCCATCTTCCAGAACAACTGCAGACTGGAGGTAAAGCAACATTACAGCATGCTGTATTAGCTGAATTAGCACACACATACGCAGCACTTGCAGCGTCTTGACGGCGCTAATTTCGCTGCTCTCAGCACACTTGACGCGCACTCCACACCTCCTCAAAAGCCTCAAGGTCTCTCTTCCACTGGGCGCAATCCTCTTGAGAATTCCTTTTCTCGATTGCTCCCCGGGAATTTCTCCGCGAGACTCCTTGTCAGGAAATTGAAATTTCGTTTGTTATTATTCTTCAGAAAAAATAAACAGTAAATGAGTTAAATCTGTAAATGCAATAAGTTTTGACAAGGAAAAATGATTATGTATAATATTTCTAGTATTTTCTTGCTGTTTTTCTTATTTTATTCCAGTAATAATTATTTGAGTTTAATTACTAACTATTCTGTAACTATGAACTAGTTCGTTCAACTACAACTACCTAATTATTACCGGGATTTTTCTTGTTATTTTTATACATTTCGGTTATTATTACTTATTATTATTATTTTCTAAATTAAGTAACTGCTAACGACCAAACGATTCCGTCGATTGAAGTTAACTAAATATAAATTAATTAATTAGATAAATATCTAGCAATATTCGAATTTGTAAATTTGAAATGAATTTGTTACCTCTAAAAAGACTGGCAAATTTGTATGTTTTATGATTTATCTCTCACAATAAGGTTTCTGTAATTCGTAGTGCTGTCAAATTTCTTGCAAAAATTGAGTGAATTGCACAAGCGCATTAGAACATGGAAAGGAATTTATTTCCCTTACGCCGAGCAGATAAAATTAACATGATTAGAATTCAGTGAAACGCAATACAATATTTCTCTCTTAAGTATGGAAAGCTTGAACCAAAAAAGTCAGTTTTTGAAAATTGTTGTCAATATACGGGGTAATTAACCGCTTGATATGAAATACATTTGCAGTGAGATGGAAACCGCTTCTTTATTGTTATGTATGTTAATGAATTTTTGTCGAGAAAATTATGTGTTAAATTGTTTTGAATATAGAAGGGTATAGAAATTCACCATGATCGAAGCCAGACGAAGCATTAACTTTAAAAGTGAAACTTTGACATAAAAAGCTAAATGATAAATTAACCCGCAAGATTACATTTCATTAATATTATATCCCCGCAAGATGTAATATTACTGATCTTTATTTAAATTATAAAGAACTAACTGCGAAATTAACAGACCCGGTGAAAAAGATCTAATGTGTAGAACTCGTAGTGCATTCTGCTGATACAATATTGATATTACGAATGTAACGTAGTAAAGTGTACCAATGGTATTGTGAGACATTGTACCAATCTTGTGAAAAATGAAGTATTATGAAGAAACACATGCAGAAATGGGTCCCTTTTTGCGAATATGTTTAAAGCAGTAATACTTTTAAACAGCATTTTTGAAACGTTTTTTCATCCTAGATAAAATGGCTGTTTTATCCCAAATTTGCGCTGGCAGCAGTACTTTTATTTTCCGAGTTGAGTATCGATTACATTCCTGTAATAAATTACTTTCACCCGGTACGAGTTAATCCGCTGCCGTTGCAATGTTGCATCTTCTTAAAATAAGGAATTAATTTTTCCGGCTGCCGCAGCCAGCGCAGCCGGGTGTATTATGCGCGGGTAATTTGAAATTAAAATGGTGAGAATAATTTTTCCGGTCTCGGTGATAATCCGATCTCATTCGTCCAGAATCCTGAATAGCTGTGATGTTGTGTGTACATGTGCAGGCGCAGCTGTACAGTCTGCGGGAGGATGTGACGGAGGCGCGCACACAGTGCTCGCTGATCGATAGCGAACGCCGCCAGCTCCTCTTCGAGGTGCACGAAGCCCAACTGCAGCACCCGGCCACGCAGCAGCAGGACGCCCACCAAGCGCAACGGGTTAGCCGCAGTCTGGTATGTGCCGGGGTTTTTGTTTTTCCAACATGTGCCGGTGTTTTCCCCGTGATTGTTTTTCTTATTGATCGGTTACGTGCAGCGCTGTTCCTTGCGCCTTTTTTTAACATAACTTACCCGTAACCATTTTTGTCCGTACTTAAAAAGGTTGCGCTTTAGCGATGGCATTCGCGGAAACTGACTAATAATTACAAGGAATCAGTCCACATTTTATCTGATTGGTTAATTTAATTTTTCAGTACAGTATATAATTCCAATTTTTTCCCTATGTAATACAATTTAATTGTTGAATTAACACCGACTTATCAGAGATATTTCATAAAATGTGACTGATTTCGCATGGAATTTTTAAAAAAAAGTCTCCGGTGGTTTGAATACATGTAGTATGAAATTTCTTTTTTGGATTTGATACCTATATAATTAATGTGATTTGTTTCGAAATTCCTGGATTAATAACATTAGCGGCTAACGAAGAAACCGAAATAGCTATGAAATAGAAATGGTCGTAAAAAAATGGAAGGAAAAGAACATGTTCGAGAATTGTTTGATAAAAATGGAATATTGATTTTTCGAAGGGTTTTTTTACTTTTTTGCTGTTCGAATTACATGGTGTGGTTGAGTATTTATTGTTTTTATTCTGTGTGTCTGTTTTGGTGAAGGGCGATGGAAAAGTGGCCGTGAGCGAAAAGCGGGCGAGCGATGAGCGATTACGCGCGGAGAACACGCAGTTGAGCAAGGAGAACGTGCAGCTGCGGCAGTGGCTGATGGACACGGAGAGCGAGCTGTTCGCTGCACTCCTGGCCGCACGCTACCTTGACAAAGAACTCGCCGGAAGGTAAAGTCGTCGTTGCAAAACATTCCTTGGCGGAATTGAGTTGATGGACGGTGGATAAAGTTTTCAACTCTACGCTGTATATTCTTGCACTTGTTTTAAAACATTTACATTCATAAACATTTTAAATTATCCATTTGTGTGTTACCGCTAAACATAATAATATTCCAGTTACGAAACATAAAATTAATCGATTTTATTCATTTGTATTTTTGTCCTTATCTGTTAGCTTTTAAGTTTCTCTCCATTTGCGATTTTCCGGCTGAACATAAAAAATGGTCAAATAAATTTAATTGATTTTCCAGTTCGTCTTTATTATGGATGTCTTTACTACGGCTTTCAGTTTTTGTTTTTTTTTGAAAGCTTTTTTTATTGTTTTTTTCGTAAGTTTATTCCGTAGTTCATTCTTTTTTTTATTTAGAATTCAGCAGATTCAGCTGCTGGCCCGCGATCTACGTCCGGAAGATCATGATCGCCTATGGAGTCAGTTGGAAGCCGAAATCAACCTCCATCGTCATAAAACCGTACGCTGTTTACCTAAAAAAATTAGGAATACAATAATTATGCAACCGGGCGTATTATTGTTAATAATAATGTTAAATTGTAAATAATTTGCAGATTACGCAAGCCTGTCGTCAGCGTGGACGTCGGCGCCACACGGGCGGATCGGCTCGCACGGACCGCCAGCGCGCTCAGGTGGGTGGCTGCTGCTCGGCAGAATTATCACGAGCAAACGTAGTGTGGTGGCTGCATTCCTCTCCCAGGAAGTTACGCTAGAAACTTTATAATTTTCTCTGGAAGTGCAGTACTTTAACATTAAATTTATCGGCTTAATTTTTATATGTATTTTTTAACCATTTTTTTACTATCCTTTCGTTCTTTGTGTATTAGTGGATCGTCATTTGGAATGGGTTGGTATTTTAGCGATCTCTTCTCATATTCTGTTCCCGTCTTTTGTCATCGATATAATCTCTTTACATGTATACTTCGAAGTATATGTCAATTTCTTGGTTTGCTTAAATTTTATTTAAACTTTTAAAAAATATTTTTGACGTGGTGTCGTATTTTATTTTCTCCCTTGAGTTGTCGTACTTGCTTTGTTTTCATTGTAAAAATAATCTTTCTGTCTGCCGGTTTTTTTATCGCTAAATATAAATAAATACGTTAAAAAAAGTTTTACATAGCTGACAACTTAAAAAATGTTTTTTTGTGATGTGCCAGCTAATGTGCTTGTTGTTCTGTAAATGCAGGTGGAGCGCAGTGTGGCCGGGATCGTCCGGGAAGTGGAGATCTTCAAGGGCGCCGGGCAGAGCCTGGGTTTAACCATCACGGTAACACCGGCATTCTTTATTAACTTTCTCTCACAGAAACTGACAGCTGGTGTTGTCGGTGACCTTTGCAGGGTGGGCAGGAGCACGGCGTGCCGGTGGTCATCTCGGAGATCCAGGACCATCATCTGGCCGCCCAGAGCGGCGCCTTCCTGGTGGGCGACGCCATCCTGGCCGTCAACGGCGTCGATCTCCGCAGCGCCAAGCATTCCGACGCGGTGAAAGTGTTGTGCCAACTGGTAAAGCAGAAATTAACCGAGAAAGCAAATCTTCCTTTTATTATCTCTGCCGTGTATGGTACATAATTTTCGGCTGGAAATTTCTCAGACTTGTCTCCACTACCAGCTTCGGTCGAACAACATTTACATGCTAAAAAATAATTACGATAATAATATCTGAATTATTTGTGAAATAAAATAATTTTGCTAAGAAGTACCTATAACCATGGCATTAATTGTTTCCTTACTTAATTTTGTATAAGTATAACATTTTTCTTTGCTTCAGTTTTTTCCTAGAAAAAAGGCAAGCAGACACGTTGGTTATTTATAATTACTGCAGCCTTTTGAGGCGTTTTTGAATTTCTTAGACAGCTGTTAATGGCTGGCATAAACACCTCTTGCCACTACACTACAGTTATTCCGTTGCATACTAGCATTACGTTTGAGCTGCTGCAGGGCGAAAACTGTGACGCGGCCATTTATTGCTTAATTCTCTGCATTTTCTCACCCTTAACCAACACCATCGAATGCCGATTATAGTAATAACATCAGCGGGTCTTTGCAGAGTGGGAATATCACCTTTGAACTGCTGTACGTCAGCGGGGATTCCGATTCGGAAGATGAAGCGGACGGAGAGGGTTTTGTCGACCCGGAGCAGCTGCCGGTGACCACCGGGCCGGACGCTCCGTACGACCATCACAACGGGCATGATGCGCATTATTACGCTGATCTGCTGGTCAAGAATGGCATCCGCCAGCAACGGTATGCAAAACTTTGGCACATTCATAGTGTCACAGCAAAAAAGCAGGAAAAGCTGATTATTCCGCCTAACATGCGTTCGTTCTTAATGTCTTTGCTTGCGTAAGGGTTCATTGGTTTTACCACTACCGTTACCGTACTGCAATGTACCACTGCACTACGTTTCACTGTGTTCCACCATTTTTTATCCACTGACGTCGTTCCAACTTTTTTGTTCAAAGACGAGTTTTTGTTCACGCTACTGAGTCTTTTTACGAATTAATTTGAAAATGCCTGGCTAAATAAGAATAAATATGTAATAAAACAGAATTAATTAATATCATTTATAAAAATTTAATTCTGTTTTTAAATTTAAAATCGATTTTTCTTTTACCAGTCAATCATATTCTGTTTCTTAATTATTAAAATTGAAAAATTTGCTTTCTTTATTTGAAATACTTTTTCTTTTTTCGGTCGACGATGAATTTGAAGGTGTCGAATTTTTAATGTTTTTTCACTTCCTTGTTCACGAGAGGACGATACGTTGTCCGCGCCCGGGACAAATTAACTACTCGATCGCGAAAACATTTTGATATAAGAAACGTAGAAATAATTATGTGAAACAGTCAGTATGTCCGCTGCAGGTCTGACTCGGTGTCGGCCAACGTGTTCGACCCGCACGCCCCCTCCCCGGCCCCGGCCCCGCACCCCACCGCCAACGGCCATCCCGGGGCGGGGGCGCGGCCCCGCCCGGACGCCAGCTACGCCGTGACCTCCACGCACTCGTCGCCGGTGCACTCGCGATCGCCCTCGCGCGGCAGTGTCAGCGGGCGGCGCCGGCTGCGCTTTCCGGGCCGCGCCTTCCCGGTGCACCTGCGCAACACCCAGTCCACGGAGATCCACTGAGGGATTCGCTAATAAACGTGCTCGCGCTGAACTGGTATTTTTTTTTGCACATTATTACGGCTTTCTCTGTACTGCACTCCGGTGTTCTGCGCTGTTTTTTGTATTGATCTTGGGGGTTGTACGGTGAATGGGAATGGTTGCTTATTGGTTAGTTTTGTCAAGGAATCCCCGGTTACAAAAATTACAAATTTTCCATTGGATAGCTTATAGTCTGTATGCACTTGTATCAAAACGTTTTAAATTAAAGACATTAATTTAATAAATTATTCTGTAGATGATTCTTTAAGTGCAAATTTGTCGCCTTTTATTTTTTTTTAATTTTATAAAAATATGTTTGAATGCTTATGTGCTGGCTGGTGATAAGACCAGGCATCGCAGAATCGCCTAAAATTTTAAATGGGAAATTATATTCCCAAATATTTTTATTGATTTTTAATAATAATTGTTTTGCAATTTATTTCTTTATTTTTATTGTCACTATGTATTGCATCGATACTATTATTGATTTCGTACATTTACAACAACCCAAAAATCAGTAAAATTTGTGGAAACATTAGACAAATGAGGGAAACAACAAATAATTGCCATAATTGTCATTTTAAAATAAAGTAAAGGAATAAAAACACTCCAATAAACAAAACGTCACCACGTTTAAGACTTTTAAGCACGAATTGTGATGTGACGCCGGTTGTTGTCGCTAATAAATCCTCGTAACGGTTTTGTTCTTGCTTTGTAAATAAAATTTGTCAGCGATTTAAATAAATTACTGCATATAAACGCCGGCAACGGGCATTTTGTTGTGGGTGTATATTTAGGTCATGTCTGACAGCAGTTAAATAACTTTAAACTCGAAATACGCCTTGTTCAACCGATTAACCGCGCTTGTGAACATCGGATTATAACAAAAATGTAATGACGCTTACAATGGCCGAATTGGCAGTGAAATGTCCAATTAGTTTTGAATTGTGACAAAAAACGAACATACCGCCGCAATCGATCCCGACGGTAGCGTCGTGTCGGTACCGGCAGGTCTCCGCATACACTTCATTGCCGCGGCACAGCAGTGGCCAGTCAAATACAGCCGCAGCTGCCAGTTTGGTGTTTTGTATTGCGAATTAGCTGCCGGAATTGGTATTATACCGTGATACCGTAGACGCACATTTATTATCTTGGAATTTTTGACTTTTTCATCATGCTGTGGCAGTTGACCTTTACCATCGCCCTGCTGGGAGTGGCTCACGGTTAGCAGAAATAGACAATTTTTCTATAAAACGACTGTTATGTAAAGAGACGATGATAATCTGTGGATATAAATTTCTTCAAGAGTCATTTTTAATATTTTATTGGGACCAATTAATATGTCCAGTTTATTACAATTTATTTTTCAATTCAAATTTAATTTTGTTTTTTTAAAATTGATTTCTTTGATTTTGGCCACGTGTTTCATGACATCTGCAGGGTATCAGCAGTTAATCCTGCACTCAGATTTTTACTATTATCTAATAAAAGAAAAGATAGTTACTCACATTATATGTTAATGTATGTGTATGCATTACATATTATTAGCCTGCAGATTTTTATAAACTTGTGCTTTCAGTTACTGTATATCAACACATTTCCACTGCTTTGCAGAAGCTTTCTAATCTGCGGTTGCTAGAATTGGCTTAAGTATGCACTGCTAAAATTTCTCGCAAAACAAAATTTCTTCTTAAATTTTAATGGCGATTCTGTACATCTCGCTGCTATCGGTAACAGCTGCTCCACTAAATTTATTCTAATCCACGTTATGGCTCCGGCCTTATAGAACGCACTGCACTACGAAAGCCCTCGCTGTTCTCTTAAACTGCTTTTTCACATAAAAGTACCGGTATACATTACACTTATTGATTTTATAATTTGTGCAGCAATTTCACAATCAGTTTACAAGTAATACTAGTGTTATTACCACACTAGTACTATCTCTTTAACTTTAATCAAATGATATTCACTGTGATGCTTTGTGTACCGGCAGCCTCGCCCGCCAGCTACTACGAAGACGCGGCCAACCTCCGTGCCTACATCGACGCGTACATGAACCGGGCGGAGCCGAGCATCGAGGGCCGGCAAGTGCTGTGGCAGTCGCCGGAGACCAACTCGCCGGGCTACATTAAACTGCAGGACAACTACAAGAGCGGCGTGGCGTTCGCGCTGCCGCCGCCGGTCAACAAGCACCTCCTGTCGGCCATCCTCGGGCCCAAGATCGACGACTACCTCATCACGGCCGGCGACACCAAGCAGTTCGGCGGCCACTGGGGCATCGACACCATGCCGTACTTCGACAGCAATCCCGTGGATAAGTTCCTCGTGGTGCGGCATGACTTCATCAATGATCCCGGTTATAAGGGACAAAAATAAATTACGCAAGGAATTTTTTTATATGTCGACTAATACCGGGGTTGTACGCTGTTGTGTAAAAAAAGGCCAATAAAAAATTACTAATTTACGTACTGTATATTTATTTTGCTTTTTTTTTGGCAGTTGTTTCGGGGGTTATAGTGGGTGACCTTTCTGATATCCGTTAATCTGTTAATTTATGCGCGAATTTGAATGTGTTGATCTAAATTGCGCGCGAGAGTAATTTACTAGCGTAATGCGAACTTGTCGTTGACCGGGGCCAAGATCAATGCAACTGCGCCGTCAGCCAAAGCGATTGGCAACGAACAAGCGTTTTACACGCTGTACAACCTCGCAAGTAATTGTATAGAAGGTACGGTACAAAATAATATTATCTATAATTGTATAATGTACAAGCCCGTCCGGATGAAGAGCACGTAAAGGTACAGCTAACGCATATTAAGCGCGATGTTAGCGCTTAACACGATGGCCCCTACACTCCGTTTGCCACAATGCGTAAATGCGCTCCGCAGTTAGATTGTCCCTTACTGCACCGACCGTTGTCTGGCCATCTTCCGCCAGGCAGCTACGATTATTCCCATTGGAATATACGGCCTGCACTAAGCCACCATCCAGCCAAACGCATGTTACGTGGTTGAACAGTGTGGCGCGGCGTTGCGTAGTATCTTGTTTGGCGTAACCCATGAATTTACATTTTTCGCTGTTCTCTATCGTGCTCATCATCCGGACGGGCTTGTACAGATGGTCGAAATCAGGCTATACAGTACGTATCTGCTCTGTTGCAAAGAAAATTAAAATTAAGCTGACAGAACACAGCTGACAAATTAAAAGAAAATTAAAATTAAGCTGACAGAACACAACCAAATTTTTTCTGATTAATCGCTGGTACGCGAAATTGGCACAACTCTTTCCTGTATCGCATACAGCACATTTATAAGTGATTGTCGATTTAAGCCAACGTTCAGGAAAAACACTTTAGCACGCAAAGAAACCATGAATATTATCGACTTAATCGTGTTGCTCTTACCTTAGCTGTAGGTATTATACATAGCAGGGCTTAACATTATAGCGTACCTTATATTATGTTTATTCCAAGGTGAAGGCTGCGCATACTTTGTACCACCTTTGGCTCCTGACACCACCTTTAATTGCAATTACAGCACCACTTTTGATTCATCATACCACCGTCAGATTCAATGTTCTCTCGATTGTATATCTGTACGTGTATTTCAGCTAGACTAAAACTAAGAGTTTGAAATTTTGCAAAAGGATCACGTGTAACTGTTTGTTTAGAATTTTATACACTGTATATTTTTTCAGCATACCGTAAGAGCATCAAGCAGAAATCGCGGCGGCGGAAATACTGCCTTAGAATTGCAAATTATGCATAACTGGCGTTCAAAGTCAGTCAGTGTATTGTAGTAAGTACAGTATATCTGCAATAATATGTGCCTGTTATGTCTGTCAGTTCTATTTGACGGAAGGGGGGCCGTGGCAAAATTATTATTTTAAACTCGTGAAAACAACCATTTCCGAGAATTTATTCTGGTATTACAAATAAAACTTTTATATTACTAGTAAAACGGGACAATCTATAGTGCCCGTTTTGTGCAATCTAGAGCGATGAGTGAATTCGACAAACTTCTGCAACTTATCTGTACTGAAGTATCCCGAAATGTGAGGATACAAACATTATACAAAACATGTTATAGCGTTATAAACCCGATAAGGAAACATACAAATATGGGTTACCCGATTAAAATTTCAATACGTTCAGCTTAGATACATGGTGAAATTGTTACAATGAGTCTGGAGATGATCCACTGACGGCCGGAGAGCACTTGGCTGGTTTGCCCATGGATCCATGGTACGGCTACGTTGTCGTCCGGTTACCGTTCAGCCCCGGGCAACCGGGTCCCGTGTACCCTTCCCGTCTATCCCAAAAAAACAGGGCTGCCATCACGCCCAGTCCAAAAATCTGCAATGAACGCAAATCGACTTGTACCGATTGAGCAGCACCGGCTGTGCGAATATTTATTTAAAGGGGCATCCATAAATTACGTACGCAGAAAACCACGGTTTTTTCACCCCTCCCTCCCCCTTCGTAGCGGTCCGTCACGTTTGCTTGACCCCTCCCCCTTGGTTCGCTCAAACGTAATACATGGAGCTGACCACCCACTCCCCCTGGGTTCGCCGGGGCCGTCACAGCTTGTCACGTTTTTTAGACCCGTCCCTCCCTGGTTCGCTGCGTACGTAATTTATGGATCCCCCTTAACCATATCAAATTAAAAACCAATTACCGGTGAGCAGTCTGGACGGGCTGCCCTTTTCGGCTTTTACGATTACACTCTGTCAGTATAGCAAATTCTTCTTCATAATCTCGCTAATAATGTAATAAGCAATAGCCACCAGGTAATGAAATATGCAAGCGCAGACACACTACCCCTCGGTCACCATTTAAACGTTAAAAAAAACATCGAAAATCTTGATGCATAGATTAAAATGCGGTGTACTTAAAATACAGTAGTTAAAACAGCTGTAGCGGTTCCCATTTTTACAGCCAAACTAAAATGTTGCTGAAGAAAAGCTGCACAACGCATTAATTCCAATAATTACTAAAATTTAGTACTTGTACCTTCACAATCATGGCTCGTCGCACCGTAAGTATGCCGAATGCGGAGAACTCGCGGTGGTTAAAGACCTCGGAAGCCAACACCAGTCTTTGTATGATTGCGGCCATATTGCGAAATTTTCGTGTTCGTGAATTCACGACAGCTGCGTCGACACTGGCAGTACTGTCGGGCGTCGTGCTGGGCTACGATAATTAGACGGTCATTTTGACAATATGATTATTACATTTGTGCCTTCCATGGTTGCAAGCCCGCTTACTGTTGGCTGGGTAGAACTCGACACACCGTCTTCATCCTCCTCCTCATACGTATCGTAGTCTAGCTCGATGCATTCTTCCCACAGCTCACGGCACGCCTCCACAATCTGCTGATTCTGTGCAACAGGAAATGCTATTCGGTTATACTCGTACACAAGCTGCTGCGCATGCCTGATTTTTAGGAGTAAACAGCTGTGAAAAGTAAAAAAGTAAGGAAAGGGAAAAGCAGAAAAGGAAGCACAGTACGAAAAGTGGCTGTATGCATGGAGCTCTTACTATCAGGTTAATAACTTTATCAGTACTTAGGTGGAACACACTGCTTTGGATTCTCACAGTATTAATTAGTTAAGTGCCTTAATACACCTTACATGCAGGTAATGAGTACATGGTAAAGTGCAATTATATCGTACCCTGTACTTTAAAATAATGTGTTTTTGCTGTTCTTTACTGATTGATGTGCCCTTTGATGGACTTACTATCACTTACTGTAGAAACTGTACTTACTGTAGTACAGTTACTGTAGTGTACTGTACTGTAGTGTAGTGTAGTACTGTAGTGTAGTACAGTAAACTGTACTTACTGTAGAAACTTACCTAGGTTAGTGCAGCGTAATAATTACTTACTGTATTGTATTGCAAGTAAGTAACTGTAATGTCAGTAATGTGCGCAATCTCTGCCTATTATCACCATCTTATTAAAGCAATACTAGGAAAAATGCACGTTGGCGTGCATTGGCAGACCGGAGCGCAGCAGCTTTTCGCTTGTGCGCATAACTATTTTTTAACGTGCAACCAGTAGCACTCTTAACAATTACCATAATCAATGATATAAACTTAGCAACATAACCGGCCAGTAACATTTTCGTGATGACCTTTCGTAACAACCTTTCGTTACGGACACAGATACATTTTTGCATTGGAGCTGAATTAAGAGGACCTTCGCTACGCTCCGGTCGACAATACAATACAATACAATAAGCAATACAACGTTACGATTACTCTTGGCAACAGCCGGATAAAAAAATAATCTGGATGAGCAGCATTAGCAGTCTCTGCATTCGTAAACCGATTTAGTTGAATTTTTATCGTGTGCCGCTGTTTGAATCAAACGGTGATTATTATTATTGTTAACGGGAACATCATGTTTCTGCGGACAACATTGGTAGCGGTGTTTGTGGTGGTTGCTGTGTGCAGTAGCGTCATCAGTGCCTCCTGGGGTTACGCGGGCGATTACCACGCGGCGGATCGGGGCTACGGGGACGATTATAACGCAGCAGACTCGGAGGGGTTCTACGCCCAATATGGACACAATATGGATTATGCCCGCCAAATGGCTTACGACTACTATGGTCAGAGGGCGAAGCGATCGCGTCCCCGAGGATAGGGACAAACTGTTTAATGCATCTGCATAATTGCAATACCAAGGTTATGGAGTTATGTAGTTATATGAATACTAACAAGCTGAGCACGGATGAATGTTGGCTTAATGTAATAAACATCGTGCCAATCAACTCAAACAGCAATTATTTATTTCGCAGCAAACAGCTATTATTTAAATATTTATTATTATGCAGTTAACCTTTTTACATGTTCAAAATCATCAGACATTATTCATCCGCGCTGGGCTTGTTATTATTAATTTATCCATATAATCAGTTTTGTACGGAGTTTACTGATTTAATGTGCATCTCTGCGCTGGCATATGAGAAAATGTTATGCTCTTGATTCTTCAATACAGAGAAAAACACTGGTAATAATATGCGGAAATAAAATAAGCCACATTACCGTGCTACTTAGAAAATGCTTGTTATATTAAAAAATCCAATCAAGCACAACTGAAGTACCATTACGGCTAGCTTCAACCATAATCATTCTAACAAAGACAAATTCTGCCAATAAAACACCATTTTTTATAGTTTTTGTTTTTTGATTACAGCAGCGTTTTATTTACTTTTCTTGTATTTTATCAATACGAGTAGTTTTTTGGAAGGGCGTTGGCTGGGGTTTTCATTTCGGGAAAAGCTTTTAATTCGGAAGCGTTTCTGTTAACGCCAGGTTGGTCGGGCTTATCGTAGAAGCTGCATCCGATTCATAATTTTATCGTGCAGTCGTTCAGATGGCCACTATAATTATAGTAAGTGAATGGGTGATGGTCGTTCAAAGTGGCCACCATTTATTACAAATTCCTCAAACCGATTTCCTTTAATTCGGTTTTCTTCTCTATCCATTTCAGCATGGCGTAATCTGTATATATGTAGCACTGTACTTGGAATTTTTAGAAAATTTACGAGTAAATCTCGTATATTCTATAGAAATCTCGTATATAGATATCTTATATTTCGATGCACATATATTCTATACTTAATAATTCGATATAAAAAAAAACGGTTTCTCGACGCATTGCACATATATTCTATACTTAATAATTC